TACTCACAGAAGATCAACTCTGCACTAAACATTCTTTAAGTAATGATAAAACTAGGGTATTGAAGGGCGGTCCCTTTTCCTTCGCTTGAAGTTACCAAAACAGTGCATTGTAAATTGTAGTATACAGAAATGGCGATTCATCATATCATTAGCTTCTTTATTGGTTGATGATGCTCCTTACTTTGTGTATGGATTGGTATCGACATGTTAAAATGAACATCGCATAACGGCTTATGTACGTATGAACATTTACATTGAAGTGATTGCACTATAAAAATGGACTACATTCTACGAAGATGGAAAACAAGCGAGTGGAAAAACACGATCTATATCTTGTGGTTTGTAAGTTGAGTAGATATAAGTGTTAAAATTAACTTGTATGAGTAACTGCATGAGATAGTTAAAAAGGATCTTGATGGTCTATCTTTATATTTTGAAACTTAACCATGAAAAACACCCAACTTAAAAAAGTGTCAGTAAAAGATGTCACTTGCTGTGAGATTATAGCTGGCTTTCACTCGCTACTTTTTAGAAATTTTATTTAACGTTTATCAAGAAAATTGCAAAGATGCAAGTAGGGTTCATTGAAAAAAATGAGCATGTTAACAAACTTTCACATGTGAACATGTTATTATAATTAACATTTTCCTTTATTGTTCGATACGTACATCGAACTGAAAAAATTCTTCAGTGATTGCTTGCTCTATTTGTCAATTTAAATTCAACTTTTTTTTATAAACAGCAATTGGTCATCTACATGTCGTTCGTTTAGACTTCTGTCTTTATTGACTTAGGTATGTAAGGTGTGTTGTATGTTTCAAATAAGTTAACGCAGTTGCGTAACTTATCTTGGAAGTCAGTGAGATATAGTCAAAAAACTCGATCTTAAATTGCGACGTTGTTTATATTTCGAAATTAATGCATGACTACCCTTACAGCATAAGGTTGCGCACACATCTGCCTCGGTAAGAAACATTTTACGAGAAATAAAGTGCACTATTATTGTCCGTAAAGAAAGCAGTAGTTGTGAAGTGCTTTAGATCAATATGAGAAAGTCATGTAGTGTGACTGTATAAATTTGTCGACTTTCATGTAATCGTTACGAAAGTGAAAATACGAAATGAATGTTCATTCACGCAAACTTGCCGAAAACTGCACTTGCTCATCAACTGATGCAGTCTGTACAACGTTA